TATTGCTTGAAAATGGTGCTCTGCTTAATAATGTGGAACACCCTCCATTTTTCCTTAAATTGGGCTCACCTGCCAATCTAATTATCACAGGTGTCCGAGATTGTTTTCAGTGATCAAAAGAGCCCTGACACACAATGCCATCCATGGGTTAAACTGAAAAACAAAATATTTAATCTTTGTGACACTTAAATAAAATTTGCATAATAATTTGGAACAGGGTGTAGTGCTTGTGGCGTGGTGGTCCTATAAGATGTAAAAAGAAAGGAGGAAACCAAGCTTCAAAGGGTTCACAGGAGAAAAAAGAGAAGTAGGAGAGAGCCATTATAGTCTACTTTGTGGATGGCATCAGTAGGAGGCATATAAAGTGATCAAATATTTAATTTGATCATGAGTCTGTGCAAAAATCAGGACTGGTTTCCAATAACATGAGGTGTCAGACAGGGATGCATCTTGGGATGCATCTTCAGAAATGCAAATTTGTAAGAAGAGTCTGTTGGCATCAAAGTTGGAGGCCAAAACATAAACAACCTGCTCTATGCAGAGGACAAATGCTCATCACCAGCAGCAAAAAAGGAATGCTGTATTTACTGAGAAAAATCAAAACTGAAAGTCGAAACATGGGATTAGAACTGAATAAGAACAAGATGAAGATCATGAACACAGAAAATGATGACGAATCTGAGTTTGATGGTGATAGAATAGAAGTTGTAAAGCATTTTAATCTCCTGGGCTCTTTCATAAACAAAGAAGCAATTAGTAGTGATGAAATACTACACAGAATAGCACTTGATAGCCACACAATGAAAACTCTTGACAAAGTATTCAAAGGTAAAGAAATGCACTCAAAACGAAGACCAGGCTCATTCATGCACTCATTTTCCCAGTTGTCAATTACAGCCGTGAAAGCTGGACACAACGAAAACAGAACAGAAAGAAGGTCTAATATTTCATTTTTGAAAAGAGATCAAACCTATGTCACTAGAAGCCCAAACGATGATGTTATGACTGTCCTATTTTGGTCACAGTGGGGTTTATTTACTATGGCTGGTTCACTCAGTATCTTGTGTATCTGTACATGGTAGCCAATCAGTTTCTAATTTCATCTTGATCAGTTGAGCTTTACCAATAAAACCTGTAAGCTGATTGGTTTCTATGCAAAAGTGTATGAGATTCTGAGTGAACCAGCTTTGGTAATTAAACCCCAATGTTAGAAGAGAGAGAGATCACTGGAGAGGGAAATATTGTTTGGGACAATCAAAGGCACCAGGCAAAGAGGGTTGGACACATTGGCTACAGCTGTGGGGATGACACTGGAAGATCTCACCAGACTAGCAAAAACAACTTATTTTAAGAACCATGATTCATCAAGGTACTAGAACTCAGCACTCGAGCTTATGGCACTTAAAAAGAAAAATACATAAGGTGGAAGTAGGCAAGAAAAGTGAACCACTTACAATACATCTAGCAAAGTTGTGAATGGCCAAGTGGTATAGTAGATGCAATCTTCTAGATATGTGTGTGGAAAAAATTTGTGTCTCCACACAGGACAAAGGGTAGGTTGCTTCGTTGCTTCGGGGAACCTGGTCTTACGTCCTCATAGGGGACATCAAGACAGCAGTTGGCTGGTTTGTAAGGGATGAAAAATCCCATCAACAGTTTGAACAACAAAGGCACCATGGTGACATGTGTTGATGGTTAGGAATGGGTTGATGTCATTGTTTATAATTTGGACATAAAATCAATGACCTAACACCCAAAACGTTTTTTGTAGCTAAAATATGCTACTTTCTCAGTTTAGCAGTATTCACACAAAACATTATGGTATTGTTGGTTTACTTGTGTTCAGCAGCAGGGATGTGTGTGGATGGGGTAGGCTGCTGTTGCTGCTGCTATAAGAAAGCATGAGGGCATGTCATTCATATTTATCCCTGGTAATAGAAAAGGAGAACTCTATAAAAGAACATGGAGCCATGTTTGTATAATGTTTTCATAGACTAGTGCCTACTGCTGAGGTCAGCAAGGGAAGGGAGGGTAGCAAAAGAACACAACATACATTCATAACTTTTTCACTTTTGTTTTTGCCTTGTTGATACACCTATTTACACTTAAAGGCACTGTATACATTCAAAAGTTTTTGTTGTTTGAACTAGGTATTAGTTTAGTTATATTCCCTGCGTCGTTTGTTTGACTTACCTTGTAATGGTGGGCTCACATGCTTCAGCTGCAATGTATGACTTTCCATTTCCATTCCTCCTCATCTCAAATGCTGAAGTGCAAATGGTATGAAACACTGCATGGTGAGCTTTAAAGCCCATGTGCCCATGCTATGCACATTGAAATAATCACACAAAGCTGTAAAACTGCCTCTCTGATATCTATAGCTGCAGCTATTGCACTGTGGATCAGTTCATCCTCCATGTTCACAGCAGAATCACTAAGGTCATTTAAGTCTTTCCGTGAGCAGTTCAATTCACACTGCTTCCTCTCCCACTGTTGTCTTCAAAGTCTTCCAGACCTCTGATCACTAATAAGCAGGTGAACTTATACTGCTAAGAGAGTTGACTTGGATTAATTCAACTGTTCAGATTGAGTTGGCCACCCCTTTGCAGCTTTAACATCTGCCACTCTTCTGTGAAGGCTTTTTTACAAGATTTTTCAGTGTGCCTGTGAGAATTTGTTCCCATTCAGCCAAAAGAAAATTTGTGGGGTTAGGTACTGAGGTTGGATGAGAAGACCTGGCTCACAAATGATGTTCCAAGTCATCCCAAAGATGCTAAATAGGGTTGAGATCAGGGTTCTGACACTCATGTTCCTAAACACCAGAAGCATCAAACCGTGTCTTTATGTACCTGGCTATGTGTACAGTAGGAGTAGAAGAGGGCCTTCCCAAACGGTTGTTGCACAGCTACAAGCACACAATTGTCTAAAATGCCTATACAATGTTGTAACACATTCTTTCTCCTAGGTTTTTGGGCATATTTCACAGAATTAAACTACTCATTGCTCTTACTTATTATTCACTACTGCGGTCACTCTGAGATCTGTCTGTCACTTTCTATGATATTTTGATATTGAAATAAAGGATCGCACATAGGATTAAATGTTGTTTGAGTAAGAGTTTCCATAATAATATTGATTAGCAAAACTCCAGTGTTTACCAAAGGGTCCAAATCTTTGAGAAACAATACAAAGGCATTATCTTAACAAGAAAGAAAAAAACATTCATGCAATTTAGTGTATGTCGTCTAACATTAGCACATGCAATCCTCATTTTAAAGTGGATACATCTAGATTGAGTTGTCATAGGTTATTTATACTAATAAAGTATTATCTTCTCTAGTGAGTGTTTGTGTCTTGCGTGATTATTTGTAGCATCTCCCAAGTAGACTACCTTCTCACCTTGGGGGTTAAAGGATACTGTTGGGTGCTGCTGGAGATGCATGATTTCACTGAATGGTAGAAAAGGCAAAGAAGGAACAAAAAAAAGGGAGAAGAGGAAAGAGATGAGGAAAACAGATGTGTTATGACCATTTTGGCTGTCCAATCCCACAGCTCAGTGGTTTTGCAGATCATGGAAAGTTATTGTGGCATATTCTGTAAGATGCCACAGCTCCCAGACTTTGTTATATTAATTCAATGAGTTATGGAGTTGGGCTGTAAGATTTTTTTTAACTTGGCATACCAGATCCTTGCATGGCGTTCTACCATAGAAGGGAGATCAGCACTTTTTGATTTAAGTTTTAATAAGTGGATGTCACCAGAATTTACATTGCAGTGAGCAAAGATCTTTTTTGCACCTCCAGCATCTGTCTGTGGCTGTTCAGTATATGCTGAAGTTTTGGGGTATCAGTTGAAGATTTTTTTTTTTATTTTCTTTGTGCAGTTTGCAAATGGAGATCTTGGAAACTTGTGACCGTATAGTTTTGCCAGATCTCCAAAGTAAACTCGTATCCCAGAATCTTCTCCTATTTAAGCATATAGGAGTATTTAAGTGAGGACTGTGGGGGAAATGTATTCAATATTTTATAAATATCTGAGAAGACTGAGATCAAGCATTAGCTGAAGGAGCCAGATAGGCATGTTTGCTCAAAGGAAGCCAAGTTAGAAGTAGTGTATTAGAGATTGACTTGATATAATGTTTGGATTTACAAGTATGAATAAAATGCTGGTTTAGGTACATACAACCTATCTTGAAGTTTTGTAAATTAACACAATCTTCTGCTTTGGTCTTCCACCAACTATCAAGAGTGACATTAGGCCCTAGATATAAAAGAGTAAAAGATTTGTGAGGTCAGACTGTCCGGGATAAAATAGAGACAAAGTCATAAAGGATGGGTCTGATGTCAGGCTGATGTCATCCCATATGATTTCTTTCTTATTTTATCCTTTCATCTGAACAGTCTGACCTCACAAAAGCCTCACTGTTTGGTGACTAGAGCCTTATTTCAATTTGGATACTTGGTGGATGACATTGTTTTGTGCTTCACCATGGGGCAGAGAAATCTGAAAGATTTTATTCTACTCCATAGCATGGACTTGATTGGTGCTATACACAATTTATCCACCTCTGTCCAATAATTGTAAGCAGATAGTGTAGACCAGGAGGCATGTGTTTTTATATGTGCTGCTAGGAAGTGGTTGGCAAGATTTGGGAATGCAACACTACCTTGATTGTGGGAAGCATATAGGTGGCATTTATAATTCCAAACAACGCTTAGAAGGTTGCTTAGTATATTTTTGAGATGAGAGGTAGTGATATTGATGAGCAAGGATTCAAAGAGATAAAGGGGGAGACTTATTAAAACTGGTGCACACAGAATCTGGTGTGCTGTGCATAGTGCATATTAACCAATCAGTTTCTAATTTCAGCTTGTTCAATTAAAGGATAAGTTCACCTTTGGAACATGTTACGTGTTCCACCCGCTTTTAGGGTGGAACATGTAACATGTTCCCATAGTTGCAGCTGCGCCCCCGCCGCCGCCCTCTCCTCCCTCTGACAGATAATACAGGGACAGGGGCGGACTGACAACACATGGGGGCCCTGGGCAATAGGGGATCATGGGGCCCCTGTGTTCTTGCCCAAACTCAAAAAGCTTATGAAAAAGGTACCAGGGCCATCTCATGGGGCCCCCAACTGACCCCGGGCCCTCGGGCAGTGCCCGAGTTTCCAAATGGTCAGTGCGCCCCTGTACAGGGATAAGTCTCCCCATACAATCTATCAGATTTGAAAACAGTGCTTTCGTGCGGGGCTCCGCCCATACAGTGTTCTGTGAATGAGTGCCTACAAGTCCCGGCACCCTTTTCGACTGTGGGCTTGTAGTTTTCAATGATCTACAACAACGCTGTGGAGCACCCATGTAGTTCATTGAAGCTTCCTGTCAGTATATCTGCTAGACTGTACATCCCGTACAGCATGCAGATACTCTGACAGGTCTGCAGGAGATCTACTGATCACTGGTGCAATGCTTTACAGGCTCCTTTGGACAAAAATAATTTTTACCTGCAAAAAAAATGTGCATTTATTATTTTTGTCCAAAAGGTGAACTTATCATTTAAGCTTTGGCAATAAAACCTGGAAGCTGATTGGTTACTATAGACAGTTGCACCAGATTCTGTGTGCCCCAGTTTTAGTAAATGTCCCTCATAGTATTTTTGGTCATATTGTCATTTTATTGGTCATTGTTTAATTAACCACTTGCCTACCGGGCACTTATACCCCCTTCCTTACCAGGCCAATTTTCAGCTTTCAGCGCTGCTGCACTTTGATTGACAATTGCGCGGTCATGCAACATTGTACCCATATGAAATTTTGATCATTTTTTTCTCACAAATAGAGCTTTCTTTTGGTGGTATTTAATCGCCACTGGGCGCTTTACTTTTTGCGCTATAAATTAAAAAAAGTGCAAAAAATTTGAAAAAAAAAAAAAAAAAAAGGTTTATTTGTATCTTTTATAAAATTTTTCAAACAGGTATTTTTTCTCCTTCACTGATTTGCGTTGATGAGGCGGCACTGATGGGCACTGATAGGCAGCACTGATGGGCACTGATAGGCAGCACTAAAGGGCACTGATAGGCAGTACTAATGAGGTGGCACGGATAGGCGGCACTGATAGACAGCACTAATTAGGGGTCACGGATAGGCGGCACTGATATGCAGCACTGATAGGCGGCACTGATAGGTGACACTGATGATGGGTACTGATAGACGGCACTGACTGGCATCACTTCTGGGCACTGACTGGTGGCACTGACTGGCACAACCCCTGGGCACTGACTGGTGGCACTGACTGGCAGCACTGCTGGGCTGCACTGGTGGGTGGCACTGGTGGGCAGCACTGGTGGGTGGGCACAGGTGGGTGGCACTGGTGGGCACAGGTGGGTGGCACTGGTGGGCACAGGTGGGTGTGCACAGGTGGGCACATGTAGGTGGCACTTCTGGGCACAGGTAGGTGGCACTGCAGAGTGGCACAGGTGGGTGCACTGCTGGGCACAGGTGGGGGCACTGCTGGGAACGGGTGGGCGGGGCTAGTGGGCGCACTGCTGGGCGGAACTTGCGGGTGTCACTGCTGGGCACCGATCATCAGGGCACTGATCATCAGTGCCCTGATGATCGGTGCCGATCCCCGCTCTAACAACTGCCGGTTCTCGGCAGTACTTTCCTCACGATCTGACAGCGTGAGGAAAGTGCAGCCGAGAACCGGCACTTGCATTTCCCTGTGATCAGCGTGTCATTGGACACCGCTGATCACGTGGTAAAAGGCCGGTGGGATCGGCCTTTCACCACATCACGTGATCAGCTGTGTCCGTAGGACACAGCGATCACGGAGATCGCCGGGTGCGCGCCCCCTGGGGCGCGCAGGAGAGCGCGTTCTGGGAGGACGTCATATGACGTCCACTCAGAACTGGCCGGCCGCGGTGAAGCCGTCATTTGGCTATGCGCAGTCGGCAAGAGGTTAAAAAAGGAGATATGAAATGTCTTCCAGTTAGAGAGCGGCAGGGAACTTAAATGATGGCTCAAAAACGATCACAAACAACTTACAGTCAGGTCCATAAATATTGGGACATCGACACATTTCTAACATTTTTGGCTCTATACACCACCACAATGGATTTGAAATGAAGTGAGCAAGATGTGCTTTAACTGCAGACTGACAGCTTTAATTTGAGGGTATTTACATCCAAATCAGGAGAACGGTGTAGGAATTACAACAGTTTGCATATGTGCCTCCCACTTGTTAAGGGACCAAAAGTAATGGGACAGAATAATAATCATAATCAAACTTTCACTTTTTAATACTTGGTTGCAAATCCTTTGCAGTCAATTACAGCCTGAAGTCTGGAACGCATAGACATCACCAGACGCTGGGTTTCATCCCTGGTGATGCTTTGCCAGGCCTCTACTGCAATTGTCTTCAGTTCCTGCTTGTTCTTGGGGCATTTTCCCTTCAGTTTTGTCTTCAGCAAATGAAATGCATGCTCAATCGGATTCAGGTCAGGTGATTGACTTGGCCATTGCATAACATTCCACTTCTTTCCCTTAAAAAACTCTTTGGTTGCTTTTGCAGTATGCTTTGGGTCATTGTCCATCTGCACTGTGAAGCGGCGTCCAATGAGTTCTGAAGCATTTGGCTGAATATGAGCAGATAATATTCCCGAAACACTTCAGAATTCATCCTGCTGCTTTTCTCAGCAGTCACAACATCAATAAATACAAGAGAACCAGTTCCATTGGCAGCCATACATGCCCACGCCATGACACTACCACCACCATGCTTCACTGATGAGGTGGTATGCTTAGGATCATGAGCAGTTCCTTTCCTTCTCCATACTCTTCTCTTCCCATCACTCTGGTACAAGTTGATCTTGGTCTCATCTGTCCATAGGATGTTGTTCCAGAACTGTGAAGGCTTTTTTAGATGTCGTTTGGCAAACTCTAATCTGGCCTTCCTGTTTTTGAGGCTCTCCAATGGTTTACATCTTGTGGTGAACCCTCTGTATTCTCTCTGGTGAAGTCTGCTCTTGATTGTTGATTTTGACACACATACACCTACCTCCTGGAGATGGTTCTTGATCTGGCCAACTGTTGTGAAGGGTGTTTTCTTCACCAGGGAAAGAATTCTTCGGTCATCCACCACAGTTGTTTTCCGTGGTCTTCCGGGTCTTTTGGTGTTGCTGAGCTCACCGATGCGTTCCTTCTTTTTAAGAAAGTTCCAAACAGTTGTTTTGGCCACGCCTAATGTTTTTGCTATATTTGTTTTTTCAGCCTAATGATGGCTTGATAGTGACAGCTCTTTGGATCTCATCTTGAGCGTTGACAGCAACAGATTCCAAATGCAAATAGCACACTTGAAATGAACTCTGGACCTTTTATCTGCTCATTGTAATTGGGATAATGAGGGAATAACACACACCTGGCCATGGAACAACTGAGAAGCCAATTGTCCCATTACTTTTGGTCCCTTAACAAGTGGGAGGCACATATGCAAACTGTTGTAATTCCTACACCGTTCACTTGATTTAAATGTAAATACCCTCAAATTAAAGCTGACAGTCTGCAGTTAAAGCACATCTTGTTCATTTCATTTCAAATCCATTGTGGTTGTGTGTAGAGCCAAAAATGTTCGAATTGTGTCGATGTCCCAATATTTATGGACCTGACTGTATAAACTGTATGGCGGTTCAAAAACTATTACAAGCTACAAAAGACATTTGGTCCAAAAATCACAGATCCCCAATAACTCACAAACTAGCTAACACTGAATAAATGAATTTTACATCTGAAAGGAAAATCTCTGCCTGCAGACCATTGTTATAGATGCCTTTGGTGTGAACAATTGTACCAGTGGTCAGAAGTGGAATTGATGTGACATTTGGTTTAAATCTGTTACAGCATTAGCAAATGCGATCAGAATGTAGAACATTTTACAGGAACATTTTTCAAGTTTCAATTAGTGATTGTATGTCAGTTATAATAATTTATACAGTCATTTAAAAACCATGTTCATTTAGGTAACTCTTCATCGGTTCAGACGATAAATTATCCTGTCCATGCCTAGCCTTGCTGGACTTGTTTCTGCTATAGTACATTAACGCTGCTGCCAGCAAAAGTAAAAATGTACTAAGAATCAAATTAACGCAGTGATTCTAGCAAGTTTAAAATATTCTCAGCCATGTATTTAAAAATAATAAAAGGGAAGAAGAATTACTCTGGAAAAAGAGAACTATTTGACTAGAAGAATTAAACAGGTCATTTTGATCTCCCCCTCCTCCAGACGCCTGCAAAGCTCACAAAATCTGAAACAGCCAAACACGATATTTCAACAATCTGTTAAACACTGAAACCAGCCTGCGTTCTTCCATTAACACTGCAATCAATTTTAAACAGCCATTTAAAGCTGTTGTAATACTTGTAACATAATAGCAATAATCTGGAGATGAGTTTTCCTGTGCTTTTTTTATCTTTTCTTACACAAGCCAAAAATACTGAACTAGTGCACAGTCAGGTGATGTTCAGCAGAAATGTTTAAAATGTTCCAAAATGTTAACATGTAGCAAATATAATACAGAATGTATCGTTTAATATATATATAAATGCACACCATATACCGTAAATATTGTTTATATATACTGTATATAACATATTATAATATAATATTAATATAATATATACATATTATATTATATTTAAAATCAAATATATTTATATATATGTATAAAACAGGATCAGCTTTTTTTAACAAAATTTTGTTAAAAAAATTAAAACAACTGAGAATATTATTAAACGTATGCAAATGTTAAAATAGATGTACAAGCTAACTGACGTTTTGTTTCTTAAAGCCCTGAATATCATAACCAGTTTACATTTTGTCCAGTAAAACACTGTTTTCCTTTTTCTCTTGCATTTCAGAGCTGCTGATCGCCTTCAACAACATTCTGTCTATGTGCATGTAATCTGGCAATGTCTATATGGCATTTCTCAGGTCAGATTCCTTGATGGTGGCAACACTGGGCCATACCTTGGTGATGAGTGTTGAAACAGTTGGGGGTATTTACTAAAACTGGTACACTCAGAACATTACTAATGCCAATTCCAGTTGGTTCACTCTGTTCTGCTACTTCTAAACTTCCCTAGGGCATGGAGGAAGCAATTCACTCCTTTTACAGAAGCTGAATCTCATCGGGATGGCAT